CCGCGTCCCTCCTCACCACTCGGCCTGACGACTCCGCGCTGATATTTTTATTCTAAGCGGTGTCTGGCAGCCAGGCCGGGAGGGAACCAGCCCTCCTGCTACTGCCTGAGCTGAGAGCCAGGCCTTTAATCTCTAAGTAGGATTTAAAAGGAGCCAGAGCCCGGGCTGCAGTGCCCTGGAGCCTTTAAGCCAAGCTGCAGTTCGCAGCTCTTGCTACCTTCTTGCCCAGGAACACAAAAGCAGCAAATATCCATTTGCCCTGATTTTCTCCCAAGTGAAAAAGTGACATAAGCTGAGAAGTGACATTGCCCGCCCAGACTCCAGCGGATGCTGCAGTGAACAAAAACCCAAAGGAAAAAAACCACTGGGAAGATGCTCTCCTCACTCCATACCATAGGGGTCAAACCTGCTTTGGGGAGCTCTAGGCCTCCCCCCAAGCCGACAGCAGATTCAGCAGCTCTGAGGACCATCGAGAGAACCACCCCCACCCTATTACTTAACATTTACATGAACCTGGGGGCAGAGTAAAGCCAAAGAAGAGGCACCACTAGCAGTTTGCTGTGAGAGGGTAGGGGAGACTTTCAGAAAGGTAAAAATGCATCCAAATCCTGCTTAAACATCGCAGGAAAACAAATTCTGAAGGGCAGCTCCAGCACACAGACGGCAAACACGAAGCGTGGGGAATAGCTGGCAGCACTCAGACCCAAACACCCAAAATGAAGACAGGGGCTCTTCGCCTCTCCCTCCCACCCAGCATTGCCTTTGACACCAGACCAAGCATTCCCTCTCCCCTTCCTCAGGGCCAGGATGAGGAAACAGTGCCCAAAAGAAGCAGAACCTGGACAAAGCTAAAGAGCACATCTGTGAGAAGCCCTTCTAGAAAGGTACCTCCTTTAGCAACCTTCCTGCCAGCAGCGCCTGCGTTACCTACCCAGCATTGCCTTTGACACCAGACCAAGCATTCCCTTTCCCCTTCCTCAGGGCCAGGATGAGGAAACAGTGCCCAAAAGAAGCAGAACCTGGACAAAACTAAAGAGCACATCTGCGAGAAGCCCTTCTAGAAAGGCACCTCCTCTAGCAACCTTCCTGCCGGCAGCCTGCATTACCCCACAGCACTGAAAGCCCTTCTTGATACCAAGATAAAATTGGGTCCCATCAGTTAAGCTAGCAAAGCATCCACAAGGCAAAACACCAAGATATTTCACACCCCAGGGGAAGGTAGCAGGAAAAATGGTATTTTGAGCCTCCCGAGGAGCATTCAAGATAACACAAACCACAGCGAAGGTGCTAAACCCACCGGTGACGGCCGGACCTCGGGGCAGCCGCTCCGTCCCCGCCGCGCTCAGCGAGGGCCAGGCCTCTGCCAGCGCTGAGTCAGGAGCCCACAGAGCTCCACAGCCCTGCAGACTGCCCAAGCTCATCCAACCTGTTCTCTGCTCTCCAGACTGGCTTCTCGGCCCCAAACTCTTCTCTTTCTGAGGATACTGAGACAAACACTAATATTCCAGTGCCAACAACTGCTCCTCAGGCACTGCGGGGTGTTTTCCACTGGGAATATTTGGGGAAAAATAAGAAGTTTCTCAACAGCTCCTGCGACCATGGAAACAGCTCCCAGACAAAACAGGAGGGCACTGCTGGAGATGATCCTTTCTCACCTGTGCCCTCCCATGGAAAAGAAAGTTACACGGATGCTAAAAGCCAGTTCAAAATTACCAAGCCAGGAACACTGTACTACATACACAGCTCCCCTCCCTGGGAAAGGGGCAGGAAAACAGAGCGACGCGACCAGCGCTCGTTTTGTGGTTTGGTGCTCGGTGCCGCGGCCCAGCAAAGCGTCTCCTGTGGGGCACCGCCCCCCGCCGGCGCGGGCCCAGGGGACAGCGCGGGCCCAGGGGACAGCGCGGGCTCCTCCGCGCCCTGCGCCCACCCCAGCTCCCAACAGCCGGAGGTGGCAGCGGGACAGGGCTCAGCACAGGCACTGCTGAGAGGCCACAGCTGGCTTGTGCTGCCGTAGTTAACACTGCTCCATCCATCCTTGTTTTTTCCCCTCACTACTTATAAAATCCCATCCTGTGGCACTTTTACCAGAACGCTTTCAGTCCCCCGCATTTCCCAATGAGATTTTCAGCTCAGCTATCAGCTTTGGGGACTTCAAAGAGCCCCTGCAAGCACTACATCAAAGCAGCATTCTGTCCTATTGACCTGGAGCCAGGCTTACCTGCAAGCCATGAATCACTTCTGAAAACCCCATCCATTACTCACTTCCACAGTGGCAACAGGGAGAATATGAGATGTGCAAACAGTTTTACTGGCAGGTTTCTTCAACTTTAAAAAGTCATACAGAAGCTTGTCAGGGGGAAAAAAAAAAAAAAACAAACAAAAAGAAAATCACAAAGACCATAAATATGTATTAGTTAGCCTTTAATTTCTGGACTGTGATTACTGCAATAAAGTGCACCTAATTGCACATGAAACGACATAACATGGCTCTTAATACAGCTAGGATAATATCAAAAGATAAACCTCAGTGCAAAATGCTTATCTGCAGACAACCGAAGTAGTTAAGACATTTACTGTGCAATCAGCCTTTTTCAATACATGTAACTTCTAGCTGGGAGCCAGTAAATGAACCAGCAAAATAAAACAGCAACAAGTTTGCTCTTTAATTTCCAGGAGTCCTGAAGCAATAGCCAGCTCAGCAGTCCCTTGTAAGACTCCACAGCAACATCTTGGGGTCATTTCTGTAAAGGTATCCATGGACTCCAGCAACATCAGGATTCAAACCTCAGCAGCTGGGGAATTCTAGTCAGCTACGAAATGGATGGAAGACACTCCAGGGCAACTGGGAGCAGGAGAGAGGGGGAAAATGCCAGAATATATACAGAGGCATTAAGCAGGAAAACATAGAACTGGCTGAGCTGGGAATTACTTCAAGACTTTCTCCATTTATAGTAAGCTGATCAGCTGGGAACCTAAGAACTACAATGACCGCAGCATGACTGAAATAGGACCTGCAGCCATTTTGTGTGAAGTGGAAGTTGATGCAGGCCCATTTTGTTCTGAGACATTTAATTACAAAAGCATGTCTGTTTTTACTTTTCATTGCTGTATTAAATAAATTTAAAAGTGGTTATTTAGTCGGGAACAAAAAAAACACAGCAGCTTGTGTGCCTTGAACTTCAATACAAAAGCTGTTCATCTAAACCCCACCCCTTCCCCAAAATGTACAGGACAGTAACTTCAGCTTTACATAGTAAGAAAATGTATACACATTAGATACACTAAACATTCTGACTTTAAACTTTATACAATGTTAGTGAGAAAAATATAAACATTAATAAAATTACATACAATCTATTCACACAGTAACCAACTGCTAGCAGGGAGGAGGCTGATACACTACCAAAGACAGAGCAGAGGATGGCATTGCCATCCCTGTTCAACACCACGTCGTTTGTAGCCTAAAGCAGTTCTACTGCCAAACAAAGACCCTTTGAGGTAGATTCTTCCAATTCTTCAATGACATGTTGAGATAAAAAGGGGGTTTTGTTCCTCTTGCTGAATATTGCTATCAGCATAAGTCATGTTCTAACAAAGATGAGCTGATTTTCCTGTGAAGGGTAAGGAAATGGTGGGGTTTTGGCTAGTTCACTAATGCCTTAAATGCAAAACAAAACATTCAATATGAATTTATGGTACCTTCCCTAAAGTCATGTGTCTATTCTATAGCAGTTCCTTTACCTATAATGTACATATTTAAATTTTGATTTTTTTTTCTTAGTTTGAGACTTATTTTACCTTCTCATTTTGAAAAGTTGTAGCAAGTATCATACAAAACAAGGTAAGGTAATCTACAAAAATTAAAAGGGAACAGTATTATAAAATGCACATGTAGTATTATTAAAAATCTCTCTTTGTAAGCAAATTCCAGTTGGTGCTTCTACCCAATACCTTAACTTATTGTTCGTATATACATATCTCCTACAGATAAAACATTGTAAGATTTAAATGATGGCATTTGCTCAGAAAGCACAAAAGGAGACCACATTTTCCTTTGATTACTCCACCAACAGCTCTTGGAGCTCTGAGCACACACAGTATATGTGACAACGCTTGGCACAAAGGATTTCAGACTTCATATGGCTTTCGGTTATTTTACATAAACAGACCAAATGCTCATCATCTCAAATCTCCCTTGGGTTGATATCTTAGTATTTTTTCCACTTAAAGAAAGGTCCTGAAGCCAGATAACAAATACAAGTGAACTTGTATCACAAAGAGCCACCTATGTAACGGGATTCCATTCACAATACGGTCTTATGGAATTGCCTCCCGCATGGGCACATTCACTGCATAAATCAACTAATGCCTGAAGACGAGGATGTTAATTCATGTCTCAATGTAATAAAAAAAATGCTGTTTTGCTATCTGATAATCCACAGCCATGCGGCAAAGCATCACCCAATTAACCACGTGTTGGGGCACAGCACTGTTCCGCTCTGCTTCCTCACTCAAGCACACGTGGGGAGCCGCTTGCTCGCACATCCCTGCGGCATTCCGCATTACTGAGAGGCCCGGGATGGTCAGGCCAGCTCTGCTTTGCAGACAAACACACACAGGCAACTTTATTATGCTGCCCAGTTCTGAACTGTCCTCACCTGCTCGCAACAGGAGAGACCTAATACTGTTCCAGACCTCACATTTAATGGGGCAGTTCTCCTTCCTAGTCACGCTGAACCAAAACTTACAGGTACCAGCAGGAAGAGACCTCTGAAGACTTTGTGTATTGGTGATTAACAAAGGGAACCAAATGAAAACATTTCCCTCAGTTTTCAATATGATAAAACAAAACAAAAACACACTGGTTAATTCAGTTTGGGCTATAGAAAAGGATGATCTTTTTCCCCACTATATCCTATTCACTTTTTCCTAAGTAGTATGTTGGTAATAAATCAATTCCAATAAAATATATAGCTATGTTTTTAGCATTTTCTTGAACCAAGCTCAAGTTTTGATTCCGGCATCTGATTTCCTCTGTTCCAAACGAAGTGTAGCTCCATTCATTCTATATCTTCCTCGCCTTCAGGAAAGATCCTTGTTCACTTTTTTTCTGCTATTGTCCCTGAACTAGGCAAGCTTTCACAAATCTGGCTCCCAGAAATCATGCAGTTTTCCCTAAAGAACAAAAACAAAATAGAAAATGACTCAGAAAAGCAAAAGATACCTTGAGAATAAAGCAGGCAATGTTTAGCCAGAGATCACTCTCCAGAGGTAGACAAAACCTTGGACTACAGGTAGTCTCCAAACCACACACTGCTAGACAATAGCAGGAAATGCATTACTGGATTCCTGCCACTCTTTAAATCTCTTTCCAAAGCATCTGCTAATGGCTATAATCAGAGACAGATGCTTTGATTTGATTCAGTACTAGCATTTTTAAGGGCTTATGCAGTCATTTAAAAAAAAACAGCACTTTTAAAGATAAAGATGAAATTTTGTTTTTCACTTAAGTCAAAAGAATTTTACAAAAGACTCTGCTAACGTATCTGGGTGTATTCCACAGCCACACTATTTATGAAGTCAAAAAAAGAAAAAAGAAAAAACACTGTGCTATTTTTACATGCTAAGGATAGAGTCAAATGCCCTTCTGCATTATCAAAAGATTAAAAAAAGTTTCATCAGCTCCATTACAGTACCTGAGTAGGCCGAGTGTTTTGTATCATATCTTGCCATTTCCCATATATCCTAGCAACCAAGCCCTTCACCTGCAAATGTAGATCGATTACTTTAGCCACTTAGAAAGAGGGAAAGAAAAACAAACCAACACAAAGCCCAGTTCCTCCCTACACAGCCAACAATGTTTACTGTGAGGAAAGAGCTTTATAACTGGTACATAGAATACCACCACCTCAACTCCTACCAGATCCAGGAAGTTTTGGACATTTAAAAGTCACACACTTCCACACAAACACATTCCAGCCAGATTATTTCCTATGCAAGTGTTCAGAATCAGCATGCAAGCCTCTGGTCTCCAAACACCCATCTCACTTCGCAACTGGAAGAGATGTCTGCACAGCAGTTAAGGCCAGCTATGCAGCACTGTCTGTCTCAAAGCAATTCCTGATACATAAAATCATGTTTTTCATAACCAATTACAAGTTGGTGTTTTAACAGGAGTCATTCAGATCCAAGATTTGTTTCATATGCTGCATAAAAAACAGCACAGTGGTGCCTTCTGAAAGCTACTGTACTATCATGCAAATACAGCAGCAGGGAGGGGAAAAGCAGAGAACAGATTTTTCCCTTCTTGCACAAGAGTCATAGAAAAGAGGCAAGGAACCATGATGCAAAAATTTAAGGCAAGATTCAACTTGTAAAGAGGACCTATGTTCTATAAATAAATAAACAAATAAAAACCCTCCACTTTCCTTCAAGAAGGAAAATCAAACATCTGCCCTTCAGCTGAAAAAGACAAGGCTTTTCAAAGTTTAGGTCTGTCACTTTATCAATGATCTGATGCGGTTTGCTACAGCAGCATGTAAAGCATGAAAGTCAGATAATTAGGATTATTACTAGTAAGCCACACACCACAGAGCAAGTGAAAGGCAATTATTCAAGCTTGATGCTACAATACATAGCATTGGCTTAAATCCACAGGTTCAACTATTTTAAAAATAGACAGACTTGTAAGAGGAGCAGACTAGTTTGAGTCCTCTTTATTCTGCCTCACATACAGCCTCTGCTCTTAAAAGCTGAAGACTGCTTCCTTCAATGATCATCAACTACCAGAAAAAGAAAAGGAGCAATTGTATGGGTTCTAAAAGTTAAGACACTGGGACTAAAAGGAAAAAAAGCAAGTTACATTTGCCAGCGTCTCATCAGCAATGAGTATTTTCAGTACATTAGAATGGGTGCATAGATATGCAGGTGTACAGGCAAAATATAGACAGAGGAACTAGGGAAAAATAATCTGTGAGGAATTCTTAGTACTTCCAACACTGGGAGAAGGGAATGACCCAAATGAAAAACAATAAAACAAACAAAAAAACCCACTAATGAACAAGAACTTACCTTAGATCGATAAAACAGCCTCACATCTTCCCTAATATCACATTTTATGTGCTTATCTAAGGCACCACAAAGCTTCAGTAAGTGTTCCTATATAAAGAGAAAAATGCACACCTTTTAAATCTTTCATGTGAAAGGTAAAAAATAATTCTCAAATGTTATTTCAATTTTAAAACTATATGCTTCTGTTCAAAATTTTCTCCAAAGTATACACTAAGGAACAGAGGGGAAAAAAAAAAAAAAAAAAAAACCCACGATCAAGATCTTTTGTCAGTTGCTGATACGCACCTGGCAAACCATGTCTAAGTTAAAAATATATATATATACATATATATATTTCAGTCATATCAGAATTGTATCACTAATTATACAGTTCCTCCTTGCTAACTCAGCACAAGTTTAGCCTTGTGTCCCTGAAGTTGCAAGAACAATACCATCCAAATTATTTTTAATAAAAAGTTCTGAATTTACAACGGCTAAAATAACGTTTTCACCAATAATACAGTTCATTTTCATTTGCAGTTTTGTTTCATATTATACTCCATAATAATCTTTTTTTCACTTGAGGAAGAGAGGACTAGGCCCCCAAAGATAGGCAACATTACTACTTTGTCTCCAAGACAACAGACATTGTCTACAGACACACTTCTTAGTAGTCAATATCAGGTTCCATAGGGCAGAAGATGTAGACAAACACAAAAGCCCATAGGATCTTTGAGCTCTTAGAATTTCTGCGTTAATCTGTATTTGCATTCGGAGAAAGATAGGAAACTACATCTTCTGATCCAAAGCCCTATGCTTTGACAAAAGTCCGTTTTACAAAAACACAAGAGAGGTTTCTGTATTCATTTTTGCCTCTGAACAAGTTTGCCCAGTGCAGGCATCCTCTGGTGATTCTTTATTACATGATAGCTCTTAGCAAACCAGACCGAACACACATCATAATTAGACCTTTTAAACCTAAAGATCTAGTTACAAAAGTTACTTACCCTTTGATTAGAATTTACAACGTCAAAGAAACTAGCTTCGCTGACTAGATGAAGCAGGATGTAGACTAGGTAGTACGTCTAAAGAGAAACCAAGAGAACTTTAGCATTCAAAACACAAACATAACCGTTCACATTTAAATACAGCATGATCCTTGCTTTCTGGAAAAATTCAACCTTACATCCCTACCAGGGAACTTCAATGGCCAAGTCAATGGAAATACACATTTGCCTAAAAAACATTTAAATGCTTATAACATTTTAAAACACTATTCCACTGTTTAAAATTACTTAAATTGCATAGAAAGTTTTCTGTAGTTTTAGTAATTGAAAATTAAATTTACCAATTGGCTTTGTTCCCCTGTCATCTACACTGAATTCAAAGTATTTGCTAAGAAAGTTTTTGGTAGACTCAAACTAACATCTGATTTTCAACTGGGTGGAAATACTAAATCTTTATCAGGTTACCTTTCTAGTATGGCTTTATAAGAAATGAATCATTAAAATATCTTATTCTAAAGCCTGCAGGGTGAAAGTTAGATCTTGCATCAATCACTTGTTACATTAGAAGGGAGGAAAGAGTTCCATGATTATAGCATGCTTGGAAGACAGGACCAAAAACATCCAGGTGACTTAGCCACATGAAACATTTGACTGTCTCTGACTAACACAGCCTGGCACAGCTGCCTTGGCCATATATTGGTTCTTTTACTCCTCCATTACTATCAGCAAAAGGAATATGAGCAATATTAACCTATACACATGAAGAGCAAATAAATACAAAATACTGTAAGCCATTATATGTACAGAACTGTCTTCAAGCAATTAACATAAATTAAAAGAAATCTTCTCCAATTTTTGGAAAAGGCATAAAACTACAAATGCAGAAATTTACTATTAACTAAATACCTGCTGTTCTAGGTCTGAATGGAGGTGCTCTCCGCTGACATCATTCTGCTGCTCTAATCTTTCTCTTGTCATCTTTAGCAGATTAGAAGGTTTCATGCACACCAGATACTGACGCAGAAGAGACATCTAGAGACGAAATAGACATCTCAAGACACTGGACTTATCTACTGACACAGGAAAATATGATACAGACTGCCACAGCAATATTATTCATTCACTAAGACAAGCACATATATCAAAGAGACTTCTAACTAAAAAGGAGATTTTCATGCCCCAGATTCATTTTGACTATTCACAGATTCAAGTGTTTGTGTGTTGCTTTATTAATGAATCAACCCTAAGGAAACAGAGTTATTTATGGAAAAATGCAAAGGAAAGCAGGAAGCAGCACAGAATTATTTACAGTGTCCAAAATGAATGTTTAGGCACATCCATAACACTGTACTTAAAACTGCAGAACACGTAGCTTCTACATATACATTAAAACACTTCTAATCCTAGTCAGAACTAAAAGTTATTAATCTGATATTTTTCAGTATTATTTTATGGGAATAGATTTACAGCATTAAGACGAAAGAAACATTAAATCAATTATAACTTATTATTATATTCTAAAATTTCTAAATTTCTAAAATTCCAAGCAGCTTTCCTCTTCTGACACACTTCAAAGTTGGGGGCAAATTATGCACACATACACCCAACACATCATACCTGCTCATCACTGGTATCAGGTATTCTTACATGGTTTTGATTTAGAAGCTTCGAAATTATCACCAGACTAAGACGTCTTCTTACTTGCCTGAAAAATAAATTTCTTTAAGATTTTTCTTCCCCTGTCCCCAGAGAATGTCTCAAATTCACATCATTTCTACACAGCACTGTGAGGCTATACGTGGTTTCCCTAGACATAAGCTTGCCTAGAAAAATTAGTTGTGTTTTCCGAATACAGGTACTATAGAACCAGTTAAAAAGCTATCACGATGCAGGTATCTTTATCTCACTGCAGCTTTTCTTGTGCACAAGCAAACACTGTTAAATGCTTGCCTCCGAGCCTAAAGCTGAGGATCCAGATCATTTTCCTCTCCAAGGCACAGAATTCATAACTGAGCAACACTTAACAACCGACATGAATCACCCAACATTTAATTTATGCATCATTCAGGCAAAAGTGTCAGTAAAACCCTTCACTATAAAATTCCAGGGAGCTCCAAGTCTAGATATTACTAGGCTAAAACATAAAGGTAGCTTTGTAGATAAAATGACCCAGTAGAACTGATTATGATGACATATATGTAATTAAAACAAACAAAACCCTCCGCACACACATCTTTAAGACACGAGAACATAAATACTTTTTTCAAAGCACCACACAATACCTATTGCCTTTAACAGATTTTGGGCTTACACAAATAAACTAACTCTTAACAATATTATGCATTTCTGATGTTACAGTGTCATTACCTGCCACGTATTATCCAGCTGGGGACCAGCTGAACCAGCCACAGGAGGTTATGGTGCTGACTAGAGAGTTCATTCACTGCCAGGCAGAGCTCAGGCATCTTTCAGAGAACAAAAGCAAGAAAATCCAAAGCTAATGAAAAAAGGGCATAGTGGGCCGTTTCTTGTTTTGGCAAAAAAGTACACAGCTACTCCCCAGAAACATACCCAACATAATTATTAAAAGGAATTGGGCTAATAAGGCATGATGTACATAAAGGTGTTTCTGCACTGCACCTGTAGTTAAGGCTGCCCACTACTATTTTACAGTAAGACAGCTGAGATAAGGCTTTTTTTTTTCCTGACATGCAGCAAGCACAATCACTTGTTTCACTCTTTCAAAGAGCCATTCCAAACATACAGTGATTTTGCTAAATATAAGATTATTGATTAGTTCAATGCAACAGTTCCCTTGCAGAACAGGGGAAGCAAGCACGATGGTATGGGGCAAACCCATTTTCAGTATGCCCACCCACATGCTAAGGCACACACCTTCACAGCTCCCAATTTGTTCATATGACATTTTTCAGCAGCATTTGTGATTCATTAAAAAACCCTCTCAGACCACTCTTCACTTACCCAAAAAGGTTCACTGTTATGAATGAAAACTTCAAGACAGTAATTTCTCGAAATTTAAGTTGTGATTTTATAAATCTAGGACTACAAAATTAATTGTGAAATTACCTTTGCATCCCAGTCTTTTATACTTTTCAGAAGCTTTACGAAAAGGCACTGAAAATCTATCAAGGGAATTTGCTTTAATTGTTTCTCCAAGCTTATTTTAAACAGTGATAGAAGCAGAAGCACTATTTCTTGATCAGTATATCCACCTTGACAGACTGTTATACAAAAGCCTAGAAACTTCAAAAGAAATAAAAAAGCATTAAAATACAAAATTGGCTTAGTTCCTTTAAGATAGGAACAAAACTTAGGCTTTCCATCCTCACATTAAGATGCATTCCAAATGATAAATTGTTTTTATAATGTGCTTATGTAACAAATATCTCCCCATCTCTCAAGTAATAGTTTACACCTTCTCCCCTTTTCTTATAACTACCTCTTGGAGGCTCATCTTGCAACCATTTAGAGAAATATTTTTGAAGGATGGCAATATCCCCTGAGAATAATAGGAAAGATCTTTCTCTGGCGGGATGAAAGGCTGCCAACAGACTCGCTAATTACACATGTAATACTCAAAACAACCATCAAATTGTTTCTCCCCACTCAAGTATTATCATAAGGGCTGCCCACAACACAGTATATAGGATGTGTGTGTAAATGAGATGATAAATTAATCAAGATAGATTTGTACTGTCTCTAGCAGAGATGCTCAAAGTGTTTCCTCCTGAACCTAGAGACTTTATAGTTATAAACCTCTCCAAAGAAGTATTAGGAAGACTGAAATACTCCCACAAGGAAATTTGCAACTGGCTCTTCAGACAGTATTTTTCACAAGACCTTTAAACAAGGAGGATTGGCCTGTGAAGTGGGACCAGCACTGTGGTCTCATCAGTCAGGACACGGATCTAGCTCTGCTCCTCAAACGGGATCCCGCTGCCCTGCACGAGCTCCCACCTCACTCGCCTTGTGCTGCACAGGCCCAGCTCTCATCTCTGAGAGCTCCACTAACACACTGAAGAAGCACAAAACACTGGCCAAGAGCAATTCCCCTTCCCACTTCTGCTGGGACACACATATGATGTGTTTCTTCTACAACAGGGAGTAAAGTGACTCAGGGGAGTCTGACAGAGTGTCACGGCAGGAGAGAAACAGAACAGTGCAGCTGGGAGTGAGGGAAAAACAAAAGCTTGCACAGCAACTGGAGTCTGAGATTTCTCACCTTGATCACATTAATTAGATTGGTTTCTGGGACAGCAGTGAAGGCTGGTCTGGTAGTGAGGAGATCTCCTCTTAGCTCTTTTTTGCTCACTGTTTCTTGCACGTGACTTCTAGTAAAAGAGATGCTAATCCGATCAGTAAATTAGTAATTAGAAAGCCCACAACAGCCTAATTGCATTAAACTGGAAAAAAAAAAAGTGTTTTAAAATGCCTGCAAATCTAAAACAGCCTCAGTTACAGAGCAGAGACATCTATGTGAAAACTGCTTTTAATTCTTCCCAGTCTTCTAGGCAACTCTTCCTGAAAATCTGCACTAGAAAGCTTTAGGACAAAACAAAACAAAACAAAAAACCCCCTTTGATTTGAATCCTTACCTGGCAGAAAACGTTTAGGTTTTGGCTTATTTTACTCTTATGAAAACTGAGTTTAGAACTTAAAGAGCAGCACTGCTTGATGGAAGGGTGAGGGAGAAAAGGAGACCTTTCTGATTCTACATTCTAAGCATGAGATTTCACTGGATCTAAGCAATAAATATCAAAAGGAAAACACTTACAAAATATCACACTCGTTAAAGTTGGGCTGAAGATGCTGCAATGGAAAGAGAGATCTAAACGCAACACCCATATTGACAAAAACAGCTGACACATCAGCTAGTGAAGGGATCCAGGGCTTAGACTGTTCATCACTGATGGAAGCTACAAGTAAAAGACATGGAATGGATTAGTTTTAGATTTAGTTTTCAGCATCAGTTCTTTTTAAGGGAAACAAATCTGCTCAGTCTGCATAGATTCTGCTAGCACTAATCTCAGAAGACTTGTTGGAGCATTGGATGATACATTATTTTCAGAATAATAGTGGGGAAAATGGCTTAATACAGCACTTCAAACTAAAGGAACTTCTTGCTTATGTAATAGATGAGTTGTTTTAAGTTTCATCTACTTCCTTCTCACAGCTCTGTCTCATCACAGGACCATAAGCAAAAAGGCAAGTTTTACAGAACACAAATTACTATTCTGCACAGGTAAGAGGGCATTATCATAATAGAATTGGAAGTAGCACTAAGTAAGATTTAGAAACAGGCAGAGTTCACAAGACAGAAGAGCTAAATAGATGGAATTTACTCATTTGACAGAAATATGCAACAATGCTCTTTGCAAAAAGCTTGTTTGTATCAATTCACATCTGAATGTGTCTGCAAACTATATGAAGGATCTTAGAGGACGCTAAACTAGCAAGGTGATGTGAAACTAAATGCAGTGTTCTCTAAATAATGACAGAAGTCAGACTTCTGGATTGGGTCAATTTTGGCATCTTAAGTCTGTAAGAAAAAAAAAGAAATGTAATGAAATGCAACACTCAGAACTCTATAGGTTCAGATCTCAACGTTCAATTCAGGAAAAAAAAAGAGGTGGGGGGAATCCTCAGGCATGGAAAAGGAGTGTCTAAGAATGATTTGGAGACTCCATAAATTTTAAAGTGGTTAGACAAACTTTTCAGGAGCAACTGTAGCCTATTTGATCCTGCTGTGAGGGAGATGGAAAGGTCCAAGAACCTGCTGAGATTTCTCCCAGCCTTAATTCTTAGAGTGCTCATTGATCAACTTGGGCTGTTCACTCAGAAACAAGCCTACTGCCAGCAAAGCATAAAATGAAAGAGGCTACGTTCCCTCTCACATCAGCTCATGGTCCCACTGCACAAGATGCAAATACATGGAAGAGTTTGGATAGACCTGATCAAGCATTAGTTTACAAAGTTAACCGCAGGCTTAAACAAAGTTGTGACTTTTTATGGATCTGGATGAAGGGAAGACGTGGAGAACATAGGAAGGAATTGGTACTGGAGCAGTCTCTGAGAATACAGATGAAGGAAGGCAAAACACAGGAACACACAGCAGTGGGGGCTGAAGTAGACTGCTGAAAGTGTTTCTGTGTAGGCATGTGGTTCTTTTCACTCTTGCTGCATACACAGAAAAACTAGACAAAACTACGTGCTGTGTAAGACTATGTGAAAACCATCCTGTGGCCCTTAAGCTTTGAAATTAATGTCTGCAACTTCCAAAGTAGAAGACAGGGAGAAAAGGAGAAAAAAAATACTTTTGAGCAACCATACTGGGCTGCTCTTAAGATTATTTCTATTTGTGTAAAAACAACAGTATGTTTAAAAGGCTCTGTACCTATATATGCTTTGCATATACGTGCCAAGATCACATCCCGAGGCACAGCTTGTATATCCTCAGTGAAGACCAACTCCTGCCATATGTGCACCAAGTAACATAAGAACCCAAAATCCTTCCGGATTCACAGAACAGAGCCAGTGCCTTTTCCCTTCCCCATCATCTGTCCATACTTAAGGAAAATGCTTTCGTTTAGTCAGTCAGTTTTCTATTCTCCAAACACTCACCATTTTTTAGTATTATTTCCATCAATTTGTCTAATATCTGTGTGGAAACACAATAGTCAGAGTGAACAGACATCATCTGTCGAGAGAAAAGAAGCCACATTTTAAGCACTGAGTTACATGATAGCATTTTTTTTTTTAATTTGTAAAATACACCTTTTAATACAACAAAATACAACTTTTTGGTAAAAGAGAAAAAGAAACATTAACAGAAAACAAATATCAAAGCAAGGTAAGTCACAGAGAAGGGAATATGGATTGCTTCAAGCAGTGCACAAATTGCAGGAATACTTAAGAAGTAATTATTTGCAAGATCTGAATATTGGAACCCCACACTGAATTTGTGAGAGGATGAGAGGATATAGAGGAATGAGAGAATGGAGACTATAACATACCCTCCTGGAACCCATTTTCAAATTGAACATAACTCTCCCTTAACCAGAAGTGGGGGCAATTGGGAGTTGACTTCCTACTCGTGGACAAGATGAACATAGCAATTCTAAACTGAAATAATGAATTCTTATATACACACAGACCTACAAAAACATGACCACAAAGTGTGCTTCCAGAAGCACTTCACCAGTCCCATGGAAAATCTTATTTTCCTACCCAACAGAGTTTCCTGTTCTGTAAGCCAACTGAACTAGCTATTAGTTCTTCCTTATTTGAGCAGCATCAGGACCCACACAAGGTGGCAATCTGGTCCTAGCAGGAGGGAAGGACATGGAGGAACAAAAAACTTTTCCTTTGGCAAAATCAGAAAGACAGCAGACCTAGGCTGCAAGCTCATAGGCAGTCCCGTTCTATTTTTCATTTCAGACAACAGTTAGAATTCATTAAGAAATAATGGAATAGAGACAGGAGAGGGGCATTCTCATAAAGAAATGATAGAGCAATCTAAATTTCCTAGAGATTTATACTGCCACAGACATTTAGAAAGCAGAGAGTCACAGCATTTCCTCCAAGAGTGACTAAGAACTTCTCCTGAGCCATGATGCAAAACAACCTTTTCTGGACAAAAATTATCTGATACTGCAGATACCTTTGATGATTTAGAAGATGATGTATGTAGCAATGACACTTTTGTGTACTCCAGCACATAAATTTAATTTCCTTCCAACCTAAAATAAGTAATGTTCCTGTGATTTGGCCCATGCTACTAACGTCCTGAAAGCTCTTCTATCATGCACTGTGCCCTTTCCAGATGAAGTACTATGTATGGTGATGGACAGGGACATTTTCAAAGCAAACAGGGAAGAAGAAAAACCCTATTTCTAGTGTTTTTATCAAAAGACAATCCAAGCATTTCAGACTGGAGAACAAATAAGAACCAGAAAAATTTATTGAAAAAAATGTTATTAACGCAGAACAACAGAAATCACAAAAGTGCCCTGATTAGTTCTGCTACAATCATCTTCCAAGGCAACTATCATTTCCAAATAGATTAGAACTGTAGGACTAGTACAAGTCTTACCTGGAAGAGCCACCTCAGAATTGGTATGGGGCACACGATACGACTGTAAGCAGAACTCAGAAAGCCATGAACAGCTAAAGAGAGCTGCTGTGCAGCACCAGAACTGTCAAAGACAGAAGGGACAGAGGCAGAATCCATTAGTGGTTCAATAAGCACTTTTACAAAGTTTATGAACTTCCCCAACCCCAGATCATCACCAGCAGCAAGAGATCTGAACATTCAGATGCTGTTCTTAAGCTCTTGACTACTATAAAATACTACCGTAATGATACCTTATTCATGGCAACATCTTTAATAGATTAAATTTAGTTTCTAGAAAGACTTAACACATCATTTGGAAATATTTGTTATTATTAGAGAATAAAAGCTTTCGAAAATATTGATTTACGCTACTGTAGTATGAATAATTTTGCCTCACTACACAAATGGCTTCTTACACTCAGACCAATAAGTAAGCTTATTTGCTATCCACTAACATTTATCAACTTATTCAGAAAAAGAAAATATCTTGTTGGAAAATTTTAAATACTGTCTTAAATAAAGAATCTGCAGACAAAACAAAGCAGTTACAAAGGTTCGGCCTAGTTTTGCTGTCTAAAACTGAAGAGAAAAAAGCAAGAGTAGAGCAGAATATCTACATTTTTTGTACTGAATTCTTCTAGTGTCAATCTCTGAAAGGTATTTCATAAGCAGCTGAATTAATACAGCAAAATTTCCCACATACTGCACTTTAACCTTCTCTGCCCTAACTATCCATTGAAATTGATACCTCCCAACTTCTCCATACACTATCCATTTGACAGAGCAACTGGTTCAAGGGCTCCTACAATGAGTCAAAACTGAGCAGTCAGTAACCCAATCTAACCAAAGTTAGAAATTGTGACTTTTTGCAACCCTCATTAGGTGAACTCCTAAATCCCAGGACATAGGACAAATACACATATACAAGACACACATGCAGAAGTCTTTCAGCTTTCAGATCTAAAACAGTAGTCAAGTCACAAATCAATCCATCACAAAGGTTTGTCCTCCTCAGCTGGGATAGCTAAGCTTTTGTCCATTGCAATTAATGCAGTTCTCATCTGACCAGGATTTCAATGATATCTCACCATAGCAAAAATACTGAAGAGGTCAGAACACCTGTCTTCTTCCTCATGTCTCAAATATTTAAGACCAAAAGTAATTTTTCAAGAATTCTTGAGGAAGAAAGAAGGAAGCTTTAAGTAACAATTCACTGTTCTGTAAACCTAACCTGGATAAAATAATTCTTTCAAAATGATTCCGTTTAGTCTACATAGTAAGACAAAGCTCATTTTCACGCAAAGGTATGATTTCATCTTAAAAATTGCTTAACACTGACAGTAAATAAACACAATAATGACAGTTAATAAACACAATGGCAATGCAAAGGAGGATTTTACCTAAGGAGGAGTTTTTCTATAGGATTTTGAGGTATGAAATAAAAATTCCTCAAGTCAAGGTTGTGCTGATTGAAGATTTTTCCAGACATTGCCAAGTCAAATATATCTTCTCCAGGGTGGTAGTCAGGTATGGCATGAGCTGTTATTGAAAATCTCTTTATAAACGCCCTGTAATATTCAAAATTGGTTTTATGAGTTTAAATAGAGAGAGGCTTATTTGCTGTTTAAACAGTTATTTTAAACAATGAATGTCAGACATGGGAAAGTTGAATTCTATTAAAATAAAATTAGTTGCCAAGAAAATATACTGGACCATGATAAAAATAATTATGATAAAAATGGTTCATATTAGATGTATTAACAGCAACAGACAGAACGAGGAAAAAAACAGGAAAAAGGCTAAAAAAAAGCAAATAATAAAACTACATTTAAGTGGTTTCAGAGAAGGAAAGACCTGTGTTCTTCTGAGAGATCTCCATCAGCAAAGGTATCCTCCTCCTCATCCCCATCTGAAGAATTTGTTTCTGTTCTCTGTATGTCTTCCTGTAACTGTTTTTCTAGTTCATCTACCCTGCAATAACAACAGAACATATCATTACCATTTGGTATCTACAATAGAAAAAAAAAAAAAACACAGAATTCAAAGTTCTGAATGTGAATCCAGGAGTGCAGTAGCCAACTATAAACAGCAAAAACATGCAAGACATTGCAACCATTAAAAAAAAAGCAGTTTTCTATTCTAAGCTATTAAGTGGCTATTTGCCAATGCCTAAATAATGTCCAAAAGCACATTCAATTTCTAGTTTGTCAATCAACTTCTGACATCGTGTGTTTTGTTTTGTAATTGCACCTAATTTTCAAACTTCTGGATGGACTTATTTACCAATAAAATATTGATTTTTTTTTTAAACTTCACATTAATTTTATGAATGGGCATTCATTGTTTCACAGTCAGTCAGCTCATAGTCACAAGAATCAGATTCAAAAGCAGTCAACAGTACACCTACTGGCAAATGACATTAGTACATATACCACATTATGTCTTCTACTAGGAAGATCTCTTGCAAGAAAACTAATCAGTTCTGTCCACTAAACTGTTTAACTATTCATACACTGACAGACTGTCTAAACTTTAGGAATTAAAACTGAGCTACAAAAGTCTTTGAAGAAACTATTGTAGTCTATATGCAAAAATTTTTATTCCATGCCTGACCAGCAGCTGTTAGCTGCCTTAGTGACCTACAAAGGCATCAGTAATTTCAGTCTAGTTCTTAAGGGGCAGACAGATGCATCATGAGTTACTCAGTTTTGCTTGCTGGGAGAATATCAATCAGCTTTTCACACTTAAGGAGTCCTTGCATGTCCAGTCAGATATACACTAGTGACATGGCCACGCAAAGCTTAGCTTGCTGCTATCCAAACTACAGTCAGTTTGGGGAAAGCAAGGTACACCAAAGATCCCATAAAGCATCTTTATAAAACTGACCTTTTAGATTCTTCTTTCTCCTTCAAAATGTGCTCTAAGCTGTTCACATAAGACACTTGGCTAACAACAGGAGGCTTAGAAAGCTGTAAATGAAATAACAAATTTAAAAATAGCATACACAAAAAATTATCAACTGATTCACTACTAGACAGTAAGCATGGTTAATATATTAACCTCTTTTTATTTTAATGATATTTTGCCTGCAGGTGAAAACGAAAAGGAGATCCTGAAAAACAGGATGAATCACAGTTTAGGTTTCTCAGTCCCTTGAGAATTATAATCCTCTCTCAGCAACTACATTTAGAAATCAACTGCCTAAGTACTTTCAAAGCCTCACCAGAAGCTGGAAAAACGCTTTTGAAAGCCGTACTTGCATCTTTGGATATTATTTGCTATTTCTTGCTCTGTAACACTACAAACAACACTCGGAGATCAGGGCTCCACTGCACTTCAGACTGGATCTGAAGAGCAAAGCAAACCACAGCTCCTCCCCTTGCTGCAGGTCTCCAGCCAACCCTCAAAAGAACTTCTCATGCTAATGCTGCTTACACAACAGGTTTGCTATTTTTAACCCACCGAGACCCTTGAAACCCTTATTCTTGTGCATGGAAAAGAAACTCCCCAAGTAATTCAGTACATCTTTGGTATTTTCACCATTCCCTTGGGAGCAAAGCTTACAAATCACCTTAAGAATACAATAAAACAAAGCTCTTCATCAAAGTCCTATTACAGCACCAAGTTAGAAAGTCAGTAAATACATTAAAAAAAAAGTTGCAACTGCTGGCACATTTAGCTTCATTTTCAGTAGTTAGTGTTTTATTTGCCAACAAATTTATTAGCAAACAAAATAAGACCTAAGATCTGCTGTAGTCAGGTTTCAGTTCTTTGAACAAACAGTGACCTTCCTATACCCACCACCTTCTGGAACTCTTACTAAGGATAAAGGCTCTTTTTATGAGCTCTCTTTGAACAAACAGTGACCTTCCTATATCCACCACCTTCTTTAACTGGAAACTCTTACTAGGAATAAAGGCTCATTTTATGAGCTCCCTACTGAAGGGGAATACAATTAAACATAAGCATACACTCCTACTGGGGATTTTCTGTTATCCAGAAGAAAAACACATTAGTTTAGGAAGTTAGTATCCAACTACTTAAAAAAAAAAAAAAAAAGTGTTGATAGAGCATTAAGTTTTGGTATAAGGAGACATTTTTCCAATGCCACAAAATTCCTCGAAGTGCTATCCTTGCACTTAACAGGAGACACTCACCAGATGCAAACATATCCTTCAGTCTTTTTGCAAGGAGACAAGCCCCATGCTCAACTTCACATGCTGAAAGATGAAAGACCAGGTATTTTTGGTGGAGAAACCCAAAATCTACTTTTTTTCCTTCTGATTAATGTGCCTAACATGACTTTTTAACAACTGAAGAGTCAGAATTTACTCCAATTTGCATATATGCCCCTTCTTACAAAAGAAGAGGTGAATGATAGTTCAGCAAAACCAAGGTTATGGAAATTTTGGGACAGCTTTTAAATACTTTGCCATAATTATACAGAAACAGGGTAAGTCAAATGTTTGTGGTCACATACATACCCCTAAGCTACATCTAGGCTGTGCCTGTTTATCGGCCTTAACCACTAATTATATTGGTCATGCCAGTTCAGATTGGGAAATATGCACATGACCACAAAATTCTCATCTACAATATGCTTGCAAAATTAATGGTGAGGACAGATAAAGTAATTATAACAGCTCAATATCTGCCTATGGAGACACTTTCAAAAGAAATCCAGGCAACATAATGAACTATTACTGTGATTTATACAGTTATTCTGCTAACTGCAGCTTTATTTTTCACTTTGAAAGACTTTATTCAAATCCATTCACTCCTAAACCGCATCAGCTTTGTTAGCAGTACTACATTACGTTCTGGTGTAGCACTTTCAAAATTAAACCATTAATTAAACCATTAATTTACAATAAAGCTTTAAAATTGCTATTTGTTCAATAACAGCACAGCAGATAGGTTGCTAACTTTTAAAAATGCAGATTAATTCATCACCACAATTAGTTTGTAGGATTCAAATACTTACTCCATCTGTCACTTGTGAGCAGGACAAAACATTTAATTTTGAAATACCATGAAACTCAAACTTTATTAGTTGGGCCTCAAAGAAAATGCCACATTTACAGATCAAGAACTCGAATTTCTGCTAAACACAAATCACTGACCAGGACAAATAACTTCAACTCAGAAATCTTGTCTGATCATAAGGATAAAATTAATTAAATCCTATATATCCCTCCTAAATATAATCTCTCCCCATTTTGTTTAGGGGGAATATACAAAAATGAAACTCCTGACAAACACCAAAAGGAATACAGCTGACATAACTGCATGAATCATCATTCCAAGCACGAGTGTAATAAACACTTTTTTTCCCCCGATTATACTGTACTTACTATACACTATAGGACCATTAAGTAATCTGAGTAATCAGTTCTGAAGGCAAATACTTCTGAGTTTTCATGCATTTAAATACACACCCAAACAAAGTGAAAAAGGCAAAAGCAAGCTATCAAACCAAAACATAACAAAGCTTAATGTGATGCATTTGTTTTTTTTCTTTGCCACTTACAGGAAGCTTCAGTGATGGACTCATGGTGTTTTGTGAGAGATTTTCAAGACAGTCTCCTTCAAGGGTTCCCAACTCTGGCTGGCGACTTGAAGTCAAAATTTCTTGCAGCGGCAAGAGTATTTCTTCATCTTCATCATCATCATCATCAAGATCACATTCCAAACTCTCATCCTCACTATCAATGCTGCTCTTTGATTTGCTATTCAGCTTAGATACCTCTGTACAGGTCTTTTCAACTTGCAACTTTTCCGACAGCTGTGAAGACATTTGGCTACTTTCTACACACCTTTCTTCTTTAAAAGGTAACGAACGGGGAGCACTTTTATCAATCTCTTCTGAAAGCACAAGTTTCCCAGGATCTTCCACTGAATGCAAGTTGAATTTTTCTGATGTTTTTCCTTTAGATTTTGGTAAACTGTTTCCAAGTTCAGTACTAACAGCTTTAGGAAGTACAGGTCTTTCTGGTCCTTTTCTATCTTGCTGTTTTGCAGCATCCAAAACCTGAGATAAATCAGCATTTTGAAGGTGACAATTCATGTCTTTTGTGAATACAGTGTTAGTTGGAGTTAAGTGGTGGAGAGAATGCAACACAGTACTTTTTTCCTGAGAAAGCGACTTTTCCAAGAAAAAGCCTGAGTGGGGCACTTGCAATTGATTCTCTTTGGTATCCACAACAGAAACATGCTTATTTTTATTAGGACTGTGTGCAGAATACAAAGATGACAAACCTACAAGAGAGGAATTACTTTTTTCACGTTCATGGCTTGAGTTAAGATATTCCTCTGAAAGAGCAGAATTATGTCGGGGTAGATCAGCAACCTCCGCTAGCTGCACAACACCATTAGACAAAGACTTTAAGAGGCTGGTTTTTACAAAGCCAGACTTCCTATTTGTGCATTGTTCAGATGATCTACTAAAAAGAGAGTCATTCAAACTTGCTACCACAGACTGATTTGAGCTGTTTGCATCCAAACTGATGGCAGCGCGCTTTCTTTTCCCAGGAGAGTCTTTTTGTTTGGATGGCCTAGAAGATATCTTAGAACTAACACAGAGCGACGGAAAAGACTGGCTTTTCCACATAACAGTGTCTTTTTCAGGTGACAGTCTCAGTAGATTTGGAGAAGATGCCTCAGGCTTTGAAACATATTTTGATTGAGATGGGTCATCTATGAAAAGTGTTGAAAAATAATCAACCACTTCAATTTTTATAAAGTCAGTCAAACCTATAACAGGTTTGAGACCAAAAAATAAAAATTAAGAGAGATAAAAATAAAGACCAGTTCTCATTAAGTTTTAACCCGTTTTTCATTATAATCCCAAATTACTTTTAGTTTTGCCGAAATAATAGAAATAACCCTAACTAGACAGCAATAGATTTTTTGAGAGAGTTTAACCAAATTTATTCTTTACAAGAAGCTTGCATCAAATTCTTTTTAAAAGTATATTAAAGTTTCCATATTTTTGCCAATTACTAACCACTTTTAACTGCTGTCGCTACAGTTTGAATCTCTCGAATCCCATGAAAACTGTTCTAATCACCTGCACCATATTGCCAAAATCATCCTCTCTAGGATGTCACTTTCAACTTTATTCTCCTTGCTCATGACTGTCATAATACTCATCAAAACTGAAGAGTTCAGCTCCACACATGTAACAGCAAAATGTAACTTTAAGAAAAAACATCATTATTAATCAATTCATTAACATTAAAAAAGAGACATTAAGCAATGAACCTGATGGATCAATTAATTCCTATCAGCACTGTTTCTACCTGATGCAGTCTCCCATGAAGCAGAATGGGATCTTTTTCTCAAGGGATATCCATTTCCCTAAAAATAAAAATGGAGGAGATAAGAAGTTAGTGGCATATTTTAAACATTAAAAGCAGGATGTTGTTCAGTGTCAAGCGCTGCATCTGGCGCAGACTGTTCCCACCACCCCATAAATATGATGGCTACAAAGAGCTCCCCAAAAGGACTGCCCCAAACCTGGATTTTATACCTTTTCTTCAGATCTGCCCTGGCTCTAAATCTCTTCACCTTCCGTGATAATTAATGCAATTAGTTTCTTGCCTCCCCGAGTTAATCTGAGTCATGACCCAGATGTTCTCAAAAGAGGCATGAGGAACTTGGATGTCAAAAACTGGTAGCCACAGACAAGGAAATAGTAGGATGGCATGGTGCTAAGGAAACACAAACTAACCAGTCTTATTTTCTACTCATAACACATTTCTAGAGACACACAATCACTTTCTTTGCAAGTAACCAACTACCCATTAAAGCCTTTGCTTGATTAGTAAAGAAAGTATAAACAATTCAAGGTAGAATGAAATACAGCCTATTTAAACAAGACCATCACCACCTCTAGTATTGTGGTTTAAGTGTAGAACTTGAACTGCTACTAACTGCAATTTCAACTAGTGGAAAATTGTCAGGCAGGAACACTGTACCACTGCTGTTCCCTAAAATGCACTGTGAGGGAGCATGATCATTTGTAATAAAACATTTTCTCCTCAATGGTCATGCTCTCCCACCCCAGTCTGCCTGAGACAGCTACACAAGGAGTTTCTACCACTTCACTGAAGAGGAAAAAAACAAAACAAAACCTTTATCTAAGACAAAGGGAAATTAATCATTTCTTTAAGTGGATTATTTTTTTCAAATGCTTTGAATTTGAAATACCAATCTATAAAGATCAGAGTCCATTAAAATTTGTAAAAACAGATTTAACAAAATTTTTATTTGGTAAAAAATAAAATAAATAAAAAGAGACAAACCAGCATATTTGTTGCCAATCAGATGCTGCCTCACTCCTCAGCTGCATGAGCAGGTGGGATTAACCTGCTATGGGGCCCTACGCAGAGAATGGCGTCAAAAGTGGCAGCTCTTGAGAAAAGCTCACTAGTAAGTTTTACACAGCTGCTGCCTATATAAGGGCATTCTGTTATATTTTATTTTTAAAAAGCTTGTCTTTTCAACAGGAACATACAGGTATCAGATAAGCAATTTCTAGCTATTTAAGTCTATTATCCTTCCAGGTAATTTACAGATTAGGTAGTGTAGGCATTTAAGTGTTGTTAAAAGAGCCACATGGATGGATGGATAGATAGGTAAGTAGAAAAGAGGCTCCTAGAAAAAAAAGCTAGACACAAAGCAAACTGTGGTAAAACAGCTGACGCTTCATTTTAATGTAAACCTAACCCAGCTTAAGTACTTCCCCTTTTTAAATGGACTTCCTTTTAAATGGACTGCTTTCAAGCTGGGTTTTCTTATTTAAAGTGGGTAATCAGCTCATCTAAGCATGACTTAAAAGTTAGAGGGAAAAGAACATAAACTTCTGTGACATCTGAAAGGGGCAGCACCAAGAATCTCACCCTACCTTAAAAAAGCTGTCACAGATTTGAAGCTTTAATGACCTTTTTAAGCATACCTGATGCGATAAACTCATTCCTGAGAATGGCTTTACTGCATGTGGCTTGGATTGTTTCTTTCTATGCTTCTTCTGCTTGCTTTCTCTGCAGAGAGCTTCCAGCGATAGCCTAAGCTGAGAATCACCTGGAGCACACTGCAATTTCACAGAATGTCCTGGATTTTGGCACAGAGATGTGTTGCTCACATGGCCATTATTTCTAGAATGAGTATTTATAGCATCAGCTTCTAATGATGAAACCCATCTGTCAGAGTCTGAACTGGTTTCTTCTAAATCCATACAGTCAGTCTTCTGTTCCCAGCTATTTCCACAAGACAGTGGTGTCCTCATTACACCCAGACACTTCTCATTTCTTCCTTGTTCTTGCTTGACCATTTTATCCTTTTGGGCCAACAAACAACTGGATGAGCCTGCAGTTACGAAGAGTTTCTGAATCACAACTTTAGGATACACTGAGGTGAATGTCCTGCACGCTCTGCTGTTCTCCAAGGAGGTTACCATGTCCCTTTTCCCCTTAACTCCTCTTCGAAAGGCATCTAGCCCAGGACTTGTGTTTGGCGTTTGGACTGGCATCTTTTTCCTCCTAACCTGCTTTGGAGAGGATACTTTCTTTACAAAACGCTCAGCACATAAAGCTGACATCCCAATTCCTCCATCTTTTACATTTCCTCTGTCTGGTGAGCACAGCACAGTTCTGTCTTTATGGCCAAGATCTAAGAGAGAAGAAAGAATGAAAAGATTATTCACAGTCACAATACTGCAGAGAATAATTTCCCTATTAGACTGTATTACTTGATATTTCACCCTCTCTTTCATACACACAAACCAGAAGTGGATTTACTGAGGCACACACGCTATTCATGAGAAGTACACAACTTATTTCTCATGGAATAAGACTTGCATGATCTATGCCACAGTTTCAGGTGTTATAAACAATCTGTCCCAAACATATGAGAGAACATTTTAAACATTTTTACCTAATAACCATCTCCCTGTAAGGAGGTAAAAAATTAAGTTACATTTTTATATATATATAAAACCTACTGTTTATTTTTAGGTACCTGGTGATCTACATTTGTTATATTGTTGCTCCAGACTGGAATGAGATCAGACTTAACTTCTGCATTCTTATATAATGAAAACTCATATATAAGCATTAATGAAAAGACAGATATTTACCTTGTTTTAAAACTGGTTTGAAGAAATCCGTAATTGACTGGTTTCTGAAGAGAAGCAGAAAAAGAAAAAAAGAAAAAAAAACCTCTTAAGATAGGTAAATGCCCAGGCAGAAAATAATCAATAAAATGACAATGCTCCAATTTCACAATTCCTACAAAAATATTCTTATGCCAAAAACTCTGGCATTGAAGTTTATTTTTCTGATAGAGTGATGAGAGCATCACCACCGACTTCTGCACTTCATGTTGCGAGACCAAAGAAGCCAAAGTGTCAGTTTCCTTTTTTAACCAGTTTGTTTCATCATCTCAGTAAATCTTCACAACTCTTTTAGCTTAAAATCATCTTTCTTAAATGGGATTGACCTCAGCTGTACTCAGTATCCCAGGAGGGAACTTGCCAATACCTCCTTTATAATCTCTGCATTCCCACTGCCAACACTTTTAGCTTTTAGCCAGTGAATTACCTTTTTTTTTTTTTTTTAATAGTTACAATCACACACTCTGATCTGCTATTCTATAAGCAACAGGTTAACTGCTAGTTCAACACATTATCCCCGAAATTGTTTGTCTGCTAGATTAACAAATTGTATTTGTACATGGAAAGACTTGCTCCAGCACAACAGAGGGCAAGATGGAAGATGGTGGGAACTGGATTCTCCT